GTCGGCGAGACCGTTAGAATGGCTGGGACCTAACATTATTAGGATTGATAATGTTGTTGTTGTTGATACTTGTGACATTTGGACTGTTTGTTGGTATTGCAGAGCTTGACAGACCAATCTGAGGTTTGTTGTCTTCGCCCATCGCCCCAATCCTTGGAAGAAGTTTAAGTTAAACCAATGATTACAAAAAAACAAAATTTTGAAACAAATAGCAGTTGACGGTTTTCTTCAATTATTCAACCTCACTTCAAACGGGATAAACTGAAAAATTTGAATAACACTTTGGGTTTTTTAGGTGAACAAGGTGAAAAAGAGAACAAGTAAAAAAAATTAAGTAATGAAGAGGGGAAAAGGAGCAAAAATGAAGAAACTGCAAGGTTATCATTTGAATTCAACCTCATGAAATAAGCTATTCGTTGTTTTATACACATTAGCTTGTTTAAGTAAGGCTCCCTTATGTAGTATTAGGAAAAGTAAGTAAACGCCATCTATAGCTACAAATAGTACTATCTTTTATTCGATTTACTTTTGTATCGCTAGATGGCAGATGATACAAATGGCGCTAAAATAAAATCGGAAATACTCTTGACTTTTTTGATGTTAACTTAACTGTTTTTCAATTTTTGATGTTGATTAATTTTCCCACTAATTTTATATTGTTTTTATTTCCAACAGTCATTTTAATTCAAAAGATTGTGTTTGAAAAAATTATTACCTTTAAAGACAATTTAACAGCCTTGTCCAACTTAACAAAGTGATGAGAATTAATTAGCTTCACATATTGGTAGACCTTGATTGTGAATAATCTTAATTTAAATCATATTATGTTTCCTTCCAGTTTGATGATTTCATTTGTGCTAATTTGATCTTTATTTTTAAGTCAAGAGACTGAGGATAATAATTTTAATTACTTTTGACAGTTTTAATGGGTAAAAAAGAAAATGTTTAATTTGGCTAAAGTAATTGCTTCAGAGGACAGTCAATACTTGACCATTTTTACCACCTTTTATTAGTCTATTGTTCACTTTTTGCAACATTTTTAATTTCCCTTGGTTGGTTAAACCAATTGATTAAACCGGTGATTATTGTCACTTTTATTTTCAACTAGAATTTAGTCATAATCAACCTGAAAGACCTAACCTGATTAGGTGTATCATTATTAAACTGTATCCATAACCTGACATCATAGTCTCAATGAGCCTTCAAATGGTAAGTCAAGCTTTTTCATAATCTTATTTTACTTTACTTTCTTTGAAGCTTCTGGTCAACAACTGACATCTTTAGGCATTACAACAAATTATTTGGTATATTTTCTTAATTCTTTGGTCTAATTTAAATTACAGTTTATTGATGTTTGCTTGGTGTTTTTTAGTTATAGGTGTTTGCGTGGGTTAAAGTGAGCAAAAGGGTATTGGATGAAGGATCAGTTGTTTTAACATGAAGGTTATTACAATTGGTTGGTAACGTTGGTCAAATTATTCAAATTTTTAATCATTATTATTATTACCATATTTTTCAGGTTGGTTCACTTCGAATGGTAGTTTGGCTTTTACTTTCACTGGTCATTACAACAATTATATTTCCACAACTTTAGTTAAGACAGTTACGAGTTTTGAGTTTTCCAATTAAATTTTTTGTATAATTTTAAAGTTGGCAGTGAGAGAGGAGACTTTACAAATTTACTTGTTATTTAATTAAAAAAAAGAGGAAACAGAGAAACGATAAGTATAATTTTAAATTGGTTCACTATTATTGTTAGTAAATTGTTTGCCTTTTCATTTCTCTCTGTCACCTTTTATTCCTCTCCTTACTTAATTACCATACATACAGTACATTTACACACAGAGACACGTACACAATAACATATTGGTGTCTTCATTGACGATTTATCTGATTGTTATTGTTAGTATTACATTATCAATTTGTATTTTATAACTTTGCTAATTTGTTGTTTTTTTACAGTTTTGATCAAATAGAAGAGAACAAAAAGTAAAGAAGAGAAAAATTATTCCAATTTGATGATTATGGCCACAGAATTTACTTATTGATGATCCAGATGTAAAACGAATGGTTAATGGTAGCATTGAAGCCTATGGAATGTTAAGATGGTCAAATTAAAATGGTATTTCTAATTATCTAACTAGAGCGTTTTCCATGCTGGATGGTTTACATTGAATTTAAAGATTCAATGTTGGATGAAGCTAAATCTGGGTTTTCGTTGCCATAAAATGATGACAAATATTCGCTCCAAAAATTGGCTGATCAGGTTGAGTTCCCGAAGGTTTTGGCTTCATGGTTTGTATCTTTTGTGGTATTGACGCACTGGGTAATTATTATTATTGGCTTCCAGTCTAGAACGATTGACGCGTCACTTTACCCGGGACTTGATCACATTCTATGGCGTTTTCTGGTCGTTTTAATGGTTACTTTGGCTTATTCCCATGAGAAGTAGCGATTGTTTAACACCTCATGAATTGTTTCACATTTGACATTTCCAAGAATTTCTAACGTTTTCTTGAAATGGTTTTGGGTTTCGCAAGACGCTTGGTTTATAAAAATGGTGATAATTGGAAGCAGGAATTTGCTACAATACTTGATGCTGATTAGTTTGGTATTTATCACGAGTGACCGCACAAAATGGTTGGAAAGGTTAAACGTGAACTTCACTTTAACAATTATTTGATCCAATTTTGTTCATCTTTATCTTTCGAGTTGATCTTGCAATCAGAAGAAAATGGTCAAATTTATGTCAACCACAGACACAATTGAAAACCAATGCAAGTTATGTTCTTTCGATGAATTTTTCAAATCCCAAAGCTTTCAATGTTGTCTGTTAACTGAAAAATTAAAAATCTATTGAGCTTTGTTTGATTTTTCAATTTGTGCATAAATGTGACAATTTTGTTAATTGTGTCTTTTCAGTAACAACCCATTTAATCCTAGGATCATCCTCTCCAAATTTGGCGACAGTTTATTTTTGCTGTTAATTATCTTTTAAAACAAAGCACCATTTTTATTTGTCCTCTTCTGCTTGCAAAAGCTGCTCACGGGTTTAACTCAACAATGAACATTGAATCATTTTAAAGGGGGAAAGGTTACCAGATTGTTATCTCCATTTTTTCTGCTTTGACCTGATGAATAAGCTGATTCTTTGTTTGCTTTGTAGTTTGCCTCCATTAACGTCTGATCTTAACGTCTTTTTGTTTCAAAATATAATTTTTCGTTTGAATTTGTTTTTCACAGTCATCAGATTACCATTTAGTTGGTAACCAAAGTCATCATTTTATCACCATTTTATTAACGCCATCGTATCACTTTTACCGTCCCATTATCAAGTGCGTAGTTGAAGCATTTTAAAAAGATTCAATCGATCAGATTAGTGATGCGTTTACTGAATTTTTAGTTATCTTAACTGATGTGTGCATCAATAAGTGATGTGCGTGTGACCAGACACCTTCACTTTGGTGTTTTTTTATCTTTTTGTTACTTGGTTATGTGCGTGCTTTTTAAGCCAGTTGTGGAAATGATTCCGGTTTTTTGTTTTTAGTGTAAAGGTAAGATGTAAGTAAGTATGAAGGTTTGTATGCAGTTAAATGTTTTTATGTATATATTAGTTTGTGTTTTTTTGTAGGTCGATGAAATATAGTCTTTTTGATTTTGTATGGTTGTATGTTGTGTGGTTGGTTGGTTAAGTTGTCTTGACACAGAAAAAAGAGTTATCTTTGTAATATATATATTTATAATTCTCTTTCTTTAATAATAGGCTTTGATGTTATCTTTATTCGTGATGAAGGCCTGGACCAAAAACGCAGCTATCGAGGAATCACCGTAGATCTGATATGTTTGCCTTGCTGCCAAAAATCTTTTCTAATTGAGATTCGTAGTCGTTGAAATTTCTCTTCATTATATCCATACAGGGTCCCAAAAGTCGTTCAAATGCTCCAACATCGAGAACTGATAGAGTTAAATATCACAAAAAATGTGTAAAAGGTAAGTAATTAATCTTTAAACATTTACTTTCTTTACATCTTGTATCAAGCGTTACTGTTTACTTCCATTGTTTTCAGAAAAGATTCAAAGTCTAATGGACTCGAAGCTTTACAATCAAGGATAAAACACCATATGTTCGGTTCTCATGCAAAAAGCTCTTAAAATGGTGAAAGTTAATGTTGACAATGTCAATGCTTAATTTGCTATTATAAAAGCTGATAAACCCACTAGTCAGAAAAGGTCGAAAATTGCTTTCCAAGTAGGTGAATATATTTCTAACTTGACCAAATTGTAAATCGATGGCCCTTGAAACAGTGAAAGCAATCATTTTTATTGCGATAGTTTTCCTGGTTCAATTTTGTTCTCAAGTTTCATAGACGAGTCATTACATTTATAAATTATCCTGTACTAATTTCCAAATTTCAATCTTTTTGCCATTCACTCACAGATAATTTTGACATTTTCAATGGTTCCTCGTTACACAATGGATGGATTAAAAGGGGTAACAAGAATGGATACTTACAAGCAACTTTAACGTCATCAACGGCTCGAACGGATGCCGCTCTAGGTTTGTGTGTTATTAGCGCTAACTCTCCAAAGTAACCTCCGTTTGTTAATCTTGACAACTCCTTCTCTTGTCCTCTCTTTAATCATTAGGTTTCAGAAAATAGATAAAAATGATTTAAAAAGGATACTTGGCTTGGAATGAGGAATTTCAAAGAAAAACTAAAGAATTTCAAGGATAATTTTCTTGTCACTTTACCTCATCAATTTTTGTAATCACCACCGTTCCATTTTCAACAAAATACATTCCATCAGCCTGATCTCCCTGTAAAAAAAAAGATGAGTCAGTCATTTTGAATGATTCAACAATTGTCATTTTTTCAAGTTGCCTTTTTTCTGAGGTCTAATTGTTCATAGAAAGGTAAGTCATTGGATTATGGATTATTTTTTCGATTCTCTTACCTCTTTGATGATTGTTTCTCCACTTTTATATGATTTCGGTGTCAGAGCATCACAAAGGTTCATTCTTTCATAAGCCTAAGAGTACATGAGAATGAGGAAAAACAACAAGAACAAAAAAAATATAGCATTCAATATGATTGACAATTGTCTTTCAAAATAAATTGTTTCTCTATTTTTTAGTGATGAATTCTATTCATTGTTTACATAATGTATTTTACTTACCTCAAGAGACTTCAACATTTCAACTCTTTCCAAAAGAGCTTCATACGTTTTCCTCTTCTTGAAAGCTCTTGATAAAACTATCTTTCGAAAAGTTTGACGACTCTGTTATCAGTAGAAAAATTTATCATTATTTCCATGTCTATTTCATCAACAGTTATTTCAGTTATCAACAATTCAATCGTTTTTTTTCTAACTCTATTTTTTCTTTTTCTTTCAGCCTCATGTATCAAATAGTGTGACTTACCATTGCCCAAAGTGATCCTTCGGTTTTGGCCTCAACGGATGCTGACCTTGGCATATTATACATAAGTGCAAGCTCACCAAAGCTTCCTGAATCTGTGTATTCACCAAGTTCAATGCGTTTCCCATCATTTGTACAGTAAAATCTGAAAGTTCCTCTGAGAAATGCAAATGTAAAAAAAGGTGACAACAGTTAAGAACAGTTTAGCATACAAATTATTTATAGTTTACAATGTATACCCAGTATAATCAAATGTTTCACCAAAAAAGCATTAATCAAGTAAACCTTGAAGATTTTATCAAGACTCGTTAAGCCTGGATTTTGCCTGACTAGATTGATCTAAAAATTTAACAAATTTGAGTCTTTAAATAGCATATCCATCAGCTTAGATGCGCATTAAACAGATTGCGTGATAATGTACAAGTGAAAAATTCAAAAGCAACCTCAGCCATCACCAGAAAGGGAAAAAAGTAAACCTAGTAAGTGGAAATTAGACTGAAATTAAGGAAGCATTTTGCACGCTTTCAGATTTTACTCTAATACCTTTTATAAATAGATACATGTATTATGTGAGATGTGAAAAGGACAAGAATCAATTGTTTTTTCGCTGTTAGATAATGATGGACAGTAAAAATGGCTGTAAAAAATGTTTGATAATGCAATTGTAGCCAGAACAGGATAAAAGGTACATTTACGATTTCTGGGAGTGAATATTTTCATGTTGATTACCAATGTGTTTACACTGCAATAAATCAAAATGGCAGCTAATATCAACTGTCAAAATTGATTGCCTAAGCTGATCACTGTGATTTTATGTTCACTTTTTTTTACCTTTTCTACTCTTCTCTGGTGCTTCCTGAATTTTATTATATTTCATAGATATAATATTTTTCCACTTACCTTTAACCAATGTAGACCTTTTTACCTACTGTACGAAGATAAGTGCAACAACAGAGAAGTGGAAAGTTAAGATGAGTGATTCCTGCAGTAAAAGCATTGAAAATGATGAACCACTCATTGGTAGTGATAACTGTTTATTTCATGTGCAATGCTTTTTAAGCTTTCCTCTCTCCTGTTTTTTTCGTACATAATTCGTCATTCTCAATAAACATTTTCTTGTCTTTCTTTTTAATAGGTTATTTTATCAAGTCAATGGGAATCCATTTTACTCATCTTTACCTTCAACTCAATATATAAATTGATTTAAAGATTGTTCAAAGGCTCCATAATCAAAGGGAATAAACATTATCTGACAAGACCAGTGAACAAAATGAGAGCAATTTTCGATGGAATGTTTACCCTCATTGGACTCTTACGAGTAAAAAGGATTCAGATTGGAACCAAGTTGGCAATGTAAATGAAAAACGTCGATGAAATAGGAAGAGTGGAAGAATAAAAATGATGATGATCATTATTATCATCAGCTCCATGTAGCTCATTTAGGTTAATATGAATGAACATAACGTTACTTAAAACTCTTTTCCATTACAATTAATTTTCAATTGGATTGGCAATGAGATTGAAGTTTCGTTCTGAATGAGACAACAGCAAGTAGGGAAAAACAACATTAAACTCCTCAATCACCATTATTTAACTATTATATGTAAATCTAAATTTTACTAGATTGATATTTGTTGATGTTTTTCTGTTCTTGCTGTGAGCTTAGTCGAGTTTAATTTTAATGAGATTGTTTTCCTATTAACCTCCTTTTTTCTTATTACAATTTACTAGACTTTTTCAAATTGACTCTCCAAGGTATTATAAATTAATCAAGCTTAAAGTGTAGCTGTGTGTCAAACGAGTGATAAAAAAAATCTTGTCTATTTCAATTATGATCAACAATTGAAAGAGAAATAATATTGAATACTTAATAAGCAAATTATTTCTTTATGTGTAGGTTTTTCATCAGAGAAAAAGTTTTTTTTCCTTCTCTCTATCGACTGTTAGTCAGCTTTTCAATTAATTGAGCTTTCTTTACCTGTAAATATCTTAAAGTAAAATCTCTATCAGACTGACTGAGAAAAGAATCAAAGAAATGGGAAATTTGAAAACGAAGAAAAAAGAGTTTTTCTTTTCGTAAAAGCGCAACACCAAGGAGATGATTATTGAAGATTCAAGAATAATCCTCTTAAGGAAAAGTATGAAGGATGAAAAATGAACAATAAGTTTAAAGTTGGAAGGACAATACTATTGGAAACAATATACCATAACATGATTATGTTGTATCAATAATTACATTGAAAATGTATCAAAAGCATTCACAAATCATCACCATATTACTGCAAGTAATTGACAATTTTCCACAATTATTTTACCTTTTCTTTTTCTTCCTCACCAATATTCGAGTAACATTTCTAATCGCTCTTTTTTCTCTACTTTATCATAGGAATTGATGCCATGGTAAATGAAGTCAGAATTGTGAACCAATTGTTCCAACGGATTTATATGCAGGATTAACCATTCTCATCACATTTGATCTTTTCAGATCCAGTTTTGGATTCTGGTGGCTTCGGATACTTTACCAAGACTGAGTTTGAAGGTTATTTTACTTTTTGTCTGATTTCGGTCAATTTACTTTCATGCAGCTTTTCATGTTTGACCCTTTTTTTGTTCTTCTTTTTCATTCTATCCCATGTTATTCTGAATTTTTCATCTTGTACAGTATTATTTGAAGCATTTAGTTTAGTTTATTTTGCTATGTTCTTGAGATTGTTATTGAGTAGAGGAGAAACATCTTGAAAAATTGATCCTTCTTGTGTTTCCTATTCTTTTCCCTTTTCCTTTATTCAAACCTAAACTAAATTGATGTTTTACTCAAAATTTACTATCTATTTAGATATAATTTGATTGAACAATGTTTAGCTGGATTACATTCAAGTATACTTGTAATACAAAATTGTTATCTTCTACCCAACAACAACAGGAGAGGAAGAACCCAAAAGACAACAACATTGTGTTCTGGCTGTTGAAATGATTACTTCAATTGGTTATCCTGGTGTAATATCCATGGATACACACTTGGAATTTTACATTACAATGGAAACGAGGAAGAGTAAAAAAAGCCATGAGATGAATGATATGCTGAAAGTTTCAAATTGAGTAAAAAAAAGCTTCAAATCATTCTGAATGGAATTAACAACTCACTTGTAGGTTTATCATTCTCCATTTATTTTAAATCATGTATTAATTCCTTCTTTTCATTCCTTTTCTCTATTCAACTTTACTTAATTAACACTAGCTTTCAAAGCCACAACTCCATCAAAGGACAATCCCAAAGGACAATCAACATGTAAAGGATAATTTTATAAGAACTGAATCAAGTAACAAAACTAATTGACCAGAATAACTCACGGCTCAAAAATATACATTGGAATCTTCCCTCTTAAAGCATGGCAAAACTGATCTAAGATAATCTTTATCTCAATCTCAACAGCAATTGCAGGATTATCATGGTTCTTGAATTTGTTGGATTCCAAGCCTCTTTCAAGCTACAATTAGAAACTTAGTCTTGAGTTTTCATTTTGATTCAACTGCCAGTGAAAGTTTCATAATCCCTTCTCCTCTAATTATATCATTACTTGTCCTCCCTGTTGACCTACAAATTAATCAAATGGCAATCCACCCAAGCGAAAGGTTGTAGGGTTATTGGACAAAGTGTATCAACCTAACCAGACTCAGGAAAGAAGCAAAAATTAGTTTGATTTCCCTTAAGAGTCCTTTCTACTTTTATTCCAAGACTGAAACCAAGACAATATCCTTATTCAGTATTAAAGCCGTATGATTTCACCGTCAGGTAAATAATATTTTCACCATTTTTTACAATTATATTTTGAGGTTAACCAGAAAGGTTACATTAATGTTTAATATTGTGTGTTTAATATTGTGTTTTGCCATCTGAGATGTTGAAAACATGTAACATGTCATCAATTAAACATCTGAGCTTAATTGTTATTCAATAATCAACTCTTCAATCCTCATATTGTTACATGAAGTAAGAAGCATAAAACTCATTACTTTTATTAACATGTAAAGTATGATTTTCATAAACCCATTATCATAAATCAAAATAACAAAAAGCAATCCTTTTTTCCAACTGATTGGATTCACTTGTTGTCATAACAATTTCAACGTCTTATCTTTATATCAATCTAATGAAAAAATTTTTGTTTCTCCTTTTCTTTCCAGACTCACAATTCATGGAAGGTACCAAGAAAAATGTAACAAATCTATTTGGTGGATCCTCTCTTTTTTATACCAGTTTACTTTTTGTCTTCTTTGAAACTCTTCCAACCATTGAAATCCAACATGGAAGCTTATTTCCTTTTCCCATGTAATATTTTCTTCTCCTTCTTCTCGGTGTGTCCAACAAAAGGAGTTGAATGAAAAGATATTGGAAACCAGGAGAAACCACATGAACATAAAACTAAGAAGCTAACCTAATTTAGACTCAGGAGACTTTTACAGGTCTCCAATTTATCTTACAATTTATCTTTCTTTTGTGCCTTTACTCCACCATGGAAAGATGTTACACTGTTTCTGTGGAATCGAAACTCTGTTTAAGTCTTCAAATGTCAACCTTCCTTCCTCTAATTAACTGTCAACTGACATAATTCTTAAACTTAATTGTACTGGATAAATGAATGGATGGATTGAACTATCAAATAATCCAAACCAACCTACCAATAAGAGACAATTTATAAACACCATTTTCTGCTCATCTAATTAATTACAATTATAAAATTATGTATCAATATCAAATAACCAAACCTGAAGGATGAACACAAAGATTAACAACAAAGAGGAAGACACAATTCAACTAACGAAGAACATCAAGAAATGCTGGATAATCAATTCAATAACCTTTCCATCTCCAAAGATCTTTTCATCTTCTAATCAAACCAGTGACAATCAAAAGCATTCCCATTAATCTTCAAGCCAATTGGATTCTCAATCAACCTATGAAGAGATCAACATACAAATGTAACCTGATAAGTCATTCAACACGAGCTAAAGACAGCTTCAAAGGGTTGATTTAAATTACAATTCAAGGAAAAGAAAGATTTCTTAAAATGTAAAATCTATTAGAGGATGGATTCAGTGTTGATTAGATTTATCAATTTACAATAATATAAAAATACGATTGGATTCATCTGGAAAAGAGCACTTAGCGAAAGGCATTTGATTGTTTCTTCATTCAACTTCAAGCAAAGCCCAGCCAAACTTAATTTGCTGGAAATTTCATTCTTCCCATGAATCTATTTTTTTAACTCAGTGAATCCCAAGAATTGGATCAAGAAAATTTATTCTAGTGAAACATTGATGTATTGATAATGATATATTTATGGCTGTGAAAAATTGATCAATCGTTTCTATTCACTTTCAACTTTTCTTCATTCTCTATTCGATTTATTATTTTCTTATGTTTGATATTTTTCATTTCTTTTTTTTCTCTTCTTTTTTCTCTTCTAGAAATACTTTCGGAACCTTGATTATATTTCCTTGGGCAATGAGTTAAACTTTTCATGAATAATCATATCAGATTCAGCATTTTGGCAACAAAACAAAAACTAATATCAATAATGGCAGCTACTCTGTCAACTTTTCAACTCACCTATTCTTTCACACCAAATATTACTCTGTCTCTCCTTTCACCATTTTCAACCTCATGTTCATTCAAATTACCCAAAGTATGTTTCCAGCTTCACAGAAATCACCTTTTTTTCAGTGTTCACCTCCAGGCTAACACTAGAGTTTGTTGTTTCTCACATTTCATTTAAATTCATGTAAATATTCACATTGGATTGTCACTTTGTTACTAAATATCATGGGCATCATTAGCCTGAAACTAATGATTTTACACTTTTCCACCTTTTCTCCCTGTAACATGTATACATGAAGATATTAAACAGAGTCAAATTTTATTCCCTCTTAGTGAAAACCAAAGCTTGACTCTCATTTGTTTCCCTTTGGATTTTCATCTGCCATTCATTATTCAATTTGTCAACCAAAGTGTCTTTCCAAGTCGTCTTATTATCTCTTAACTTTCAACTCATAAAAATATTTCAATAAAAAGCAAATAATTATCGATAAAATCAGTCTTAAAATATCATGTCCTAAAACAGTTTCTCAATGAATGGTTTTACACTTGAGAGCAAAGCTTTTCATGCAGAAACTGATTTAATGTATCAACAGATTCTGCTAATTTACTTGTCTGTCTAAAGCAAAATTAAAAATATTCAAGCAAAGGTTCCAACCATGTCTTCAAACAACCATTGTATACCAAATAGAGTTGACAATAAAGAGATAAATTCAGAGTAAAAAATGTTTTGCATCTTTTTTCAGGAATCAATTCAATCTTTTCTGTCCAACATTGAGCCAAATTTATTATTAAAATAACGAGTTGAAAGGTTGTTATGGCCTTTTGAATAGCTTATCCTCACTTAAAACATAGACTTTATTGAATCAACTGTCAATTTTGTTGGAAAAAGCACATTATCTTTTCATGGAAACTCTTGAAATCGCAAAATTAGCAACAAACTCAGCTCTTTTTGATAGAAACTTGTTTTTCACCAAATTTTGTTATAATTTTGAGAAAGAAATTTATTCTTGCAGTTTATTAAAAACTAAGGTTGAAATCAACTGTTGAATGGAAGCAAATTGTTCAAGTTTCACTAAATCAAATTATCATTTCTTGCCATTTCAATTTACTCTCTCAATTGAAAGCCTTTCCAAATTTCTTTACTTCATCCTGACCAATTTGTTGAGTATTCATGGAAACAAGAACACATTTAAATTAATTCACAAGACAACATTTGCACCTCTGTTAAAGACTGTAAAATTTGTTTAGCTTTTACAATTACAATTGAAACATTTCAATCCTTCAATTGTTCTTTAATGCAAATTTAATACAAAATTAAATGTAATGTAAAATGTTAGTCAAATAATAATTAGAAAGAAACAAAATTCAAATGAATCCTTTGAATCAAATGAAACACTGAAACAGATGCTTCACAAGAACAATTAAAATCTCAAATTTCCATCAATTTCCATTTCACTTTTCTCGGTTATCAAATTTTCCAATTAAATGGCAAATCCAATTCAATTCAATGACCAGTTGATCAACCAAAGTGTTGACCAAAAAAAGATATTTGACTCTGGGTTTACATTGAAAATGATGAAAAAAGACTTACCTTTCTATTACGTAAAAATAGTCACCATCATCGCCTTGTCTTATAACTAATTCACCAGCTTGGACTTTCCGTTCAAACATGGCATCAAGAACATCTGACATGTCTACCTGTAATGGGAAAGAGAAATGATGATTTAAAGTAAATTCAATAAGATTCATGTTTCATGGAATGTTTTATTTCCTTTTCCTTCAACATTTGAAATTGCTTCTTCTACTCTTTACCAACTGGTAACACTTGGGAGTGAAAATTTATATTATATTTAAACAGTTTATTAACATTTACTTTTTTCACTTTTGCTCGAATGTTATTTTTGTTCATTGTTTACTTCTCAATAACATTCAGGTGCGTGACTTGAATCGTAGCCACATGCAGTTACTGAATACATTTCTGGCTTTTGTTGAACCTTTTTTGGTTGACAAAAAGGTTTAAATTGCCATTCTTTTACCGTCAACTTAATCAGTGAATTGAGAATGTAAAATGGCGTCAAAATTTAGTCCATGATAATCAGGTTTTCATGGAAAACAATTGTTCACTCATTTTTCTTGCCTCACATTTTCAATTACTCAACAATCAAGTGTCAACAGGATCAGTCTTTTTATTCACAAATGAAAGGAAATCAAAGCTTTTACTCGGTAATTTAGTTTCAAGTTTACAGTCAACTGTTGAGGCTTTTAATTCACTTGATCAAAGGTGAACCTTAATGGCTTGGAAAACAAGTTTAGATTATTAGATTACTAGGAATGGATCAAATTTGAGGGAAAATAGTGATTTTTAAAATTCTCCATCAACTTGCATGAAAACTTCCAAATGGCACTTCCATTGAAAATCAATTTACAAAGCGATAGACTTTATTTGATTAAAAATAGCTCTTAATAAGCACTTCCATAAAAGACAAATAATGAGAGTTTACTCTTAATTTGATTTCCAGCTTTGAGTCAAACTCTGATTGTTTTAAAGCAATCACTGAAGTCGAGTTAATGATCGATACAAAATAACCTTAAATACGCTGAACCTTAAATACGCTGAAAAGTCAAACCTCTTTTCGCGAAAATTTGCTTTTTCATGAAAAACTGATGGAAACGAAAAATTCTGGACAATTTGAAAGCTCTTATAGATTGGGATTTTTAATGAAAATTTTGTCATTTTTTATCTTCTCCTCGAGATTTAACTTTGCAATTAAGAGTTTAAAATGTCTTGGATTTTTGGTTAAGTGTTTTGATCTTTCATTATAAAGCATTATGAACGATTGATCAAGGAATCAACTAAGAATTAAAATGAAAGTTAGAAAAGTATTTTAAGCTGATTTCAATTCGATCTGGTTTATAGCAAAATGAAGTGAAAAGGGAAACCCAGATGAAAATCCATTAATCTTCTCTTCCCTGTAAATATCTGATTTTCCCTGATAATTTGATGAATTAAAACTGTAAAGATATGAAAGATGATGGTGAAAGTTGGAAAAAATCATTTATCTTTTAAGTGGAAGAATCGAGAGGAAAAGATTGTCTTTTGAAAAGAAACATCACCAAAGTGAAACAAAATGTTCAATCCATTATTATTTCATTGGTTTTGTTTCTTTTATTTCACTTTCTCTCTCTTTCCTAATCTATCTGATTGATTCCATTCTCAATCAGACTAATGATGAAACCTAGATTGGAAGCTCAGTGTTACATGATCTTTTCAACGTCCACCAAAAGTCAAACAAGAGTAAAAAAAGAAAATTGAAAGAAGAAGAAAAGACTAAAAAGCTTCCTGAAGCAACAACAAATGACCATTACCATTGAATAGTAAATAAGTTGACCAATTGTGAAATGATAATGAAAGCGAAAGGTTCTCTAGGTGAGACAAGGTGAACCTAAAAATAAGTCGAAAAATTTGACGAATGAAGGAAATTGTGATAACTCTATTGGGAGTTATCGTTTCATGATTGATGAACAATCTATTATATAATTGAAAAGTAAACTGGAAACAAAATGAGAAGAAAAATATTTCCACTTTTTCCTTGACTTGAACCATAAATATTTTATTTATTCAATTGTTCATTGAACCAGCAAACACTTTTCCTATTATCATTATTTACTTGGAAAAGTTTCATTGCAATGTTGTGATGAATATGAAAATTGTTTCAAATGTTTCATGTTGCAAGGGAAAAGAGAAACAAAATTGATGGTAAAAAAAATGTTACTTACCTGGTCTAGAGATCTGAATAATAATATACCTTTGACTGCTTCACCCAAACGTCTTCTTTGCTCATCACTTTTAGGATAAACTACCTGGAAATGAGAAGCAAAAGGTTATCAGTTTTCACCTCCCAGTGAGGAATGCTTATCAAAGTTTCAAACTATTCAAGAAAATTCAATATCTTCTGTATCAGGTTTGAGGGTGAAAAGAGTTCTTTTTTTTGGAAAAAAGTCATTTGTTTCTAATTTGCTTTTTTTCATTTTATCCTCAAATTCATTGGTAATTATACGATTTCATGATGCACTTGATATCATCTTTTGACCTTCCATTCATCCTATCATGTTGAGCATCAATTTGGTTCTGGTTTTGCTCTTAATGAACTATTCTGTCATTAGACATTATCATCATTATCATTACCATAATAAAACATTTTTATCATTCCCTTGAATTGGCTGATAAGAAATGAGGAAATGATATTCAAAGTAAAGAATGGAGAAAAGTGATTGCTCATGCTCGCCATGGTGAACTGCTTTACTTGTAAACAATTTTTCATGATCATGTGATTGAGCCTTTCCTGACTGACTGAATTGGAAAAGGTAAACAAGATGAAAGGAACAAAAAATGTTGATCGTTTGAACATGATAATGACCCAAATAGAGTGATGAATAAATCTGATACCTTTTCTCCTTCGTCGTCATCTTCTTCAGCTGGATCGTAATGTTCAGCAAATACTTTTGTATTCCAATGAGAATCGGGTGCGATGAGCAAATTTGATAAAAGAAGATCAATTTTTAACATTTGGAATTTATCTCAACTTTGAAAGATGATTTAGGTTGAGTAAAGGTTGACGTATAATTTGATAACTCAAAGGTTGAAGGTGACAGGTGAGGATACTAACCACTATACTACCAGAGATATAACTAAGAGTTGAAGCAGTGGGGTAAAAGCGGGAAGACTTCAAAGGTTGAAGGTTACAGCTTTAGAGTGAATCAGGTAGAGTCTAATATTAATCATTGGGCTATTTTGCATTATTATTGTGACTCGACATTGATTGAAACAGCTTACAGTGTTAAACTTGAGCTACTTTTATCCTTAGAAACACTTTGTGAGTCAACGTTTAACCGTCTATTTTTGCCTGACTCAAATTACGAGCATCATCAGGTTATTTGGCATTGCATATTGATTGAACTGTGAGTAGCTGCATTGACTCACAATGTTATTACACTGATGACTAAAGTTGATTTGATTCTGATTCATTTTATTGTAGTCTTTTTGGAAACAGATATGTTCTCATTACTCAACCTAATTTAAATTATCGTTAAGATGATCAACAAGATTTGTTGATAAGAGGAAAAGGGTGACGAAAAGGCGCAAGACAAACCTGATTTTCTCCGATTAAAAGATAATTTTGTTGGCGGTTCTGTAAATGAACGAGAAAACAAAAGTCAATTAGTATTGATTGTTGGACACAACAAAAGTCAAGAGTAAAAGATTCAAGGTTAGGTTATGTTAGGTTAGGATTTACACAGAGCACGACTAGGTTGACTAGACTCAACCTAGGAAGGTTACTTGTTTAGGTTGGGAAAAAGCTGGTAATGAGGGTCACAGTTTGGGTCCATTTTTTCAATGTTAACTTTTATGCTTTTCAACATTTGTAATTGCTAATCATTGATTAGATTGACAGTTAAACAAATTACCAATCATATTGCTGACCGAGTAATGTGGATTATGATGAATGATCATGAAACGGTGATTTGACTTTGGGACTCGATTATTTTCCCTCTAATCGTAATTGTTTTACTTTTTTACTATTCCAATTGATTACTGAATCACAGATGAAAAATATTGATAACCATAACTAGAGTTATTAGTTAAACGAAGCAATTAAACAGGTCAATTAGTGATGATACATTGTCGATCATTAACAGTGCACAATGAAAGGTTAATAATGATGATTGAACAAATGAGTTGCAAGCGGTCAGGAATCAGATTTATTTACATTGATTTAGTATCATTTGGTTTGGCATGTAATGAAGCGTAAAACATTAGCAACAACAAAACCAGGCTAACCAGCGTTATTATCAATAACAACCGGACTAAACACTTGATAACAATGGTATTTGTTGATTAGCACATTTGTTGATTAGTTGATGAGGCACCGAAAATACATAGAATGGTTGAAAAAGGAGAAGAGAAAATATGAGGATAACAAAATTCTGTAATAGAAGGTAATATTACAATGAAATGGAGAAGAAACTCATTGCATCTTCAGTCTTTTCTCTTTCCCTTTCTTTCCTTCTTTCTTCTTCTTCTTCTTCTTCTTTTTCTCATGGCTCCTGGAAAGGATAAAGATAATGACAAGAGAAAGAAAGAGAAAGCGAAAGGCAAAAAGGCCAATAATGAAATACCAATGGAAGGCAAAGAAGCAAGGGAAAAGACAGAGGAAAAGAAATTCAGTCTCTGGATTCTGCTCAATGATGGGATGAATTCTTGAGGCTATTCGGTTTATACATTGTGTTCATCCTTTTATCGAACCTTTTCTTGCGAGTTTTTATTTCCCTTTCAAAGTCTTAATTCTTATTCATCATTTTTTATCCTCTTTTCTCTTCCTGTTCACCATTCAACCTTCAATCATGATATCCCGTCTTCATTATCTTCATTTTTATTTCCAGAATAGCCGCAAGGAACAAGCTTTTACCTTTATCCTTTTCAAAATAAAGGAATGAATAATTCGCCGCAAAAAATGACAATTTTGCCTGTTAATACAAATAAATGTCCAATCCTTTAACCAAACAATTCATTTAATTCGCATCAATAAAAGTCTGGATAAACACTGAATAACTGGGTCAATATTAACGTTTAAAAAGTTGGAAATTGTTTAAATTGAAAAAATTTATCTCGAAAAGAATTTCCAAATTCTCAAAAAATTAAACTTCTACTGGGAGTTGGAGTTGAACTGGGAGTGCAACTGGGAGTTTTGGGTCAAGTTGCGGATAATCTGGTAAAGTAGTGAAATGTTTTCCATTTTAATCGAGAATCGAGTTGAATATCTTTGGATCAATAACGAATCAGTCATGATCAAAGAGTCACTACAAATGAAGTTGGCATTTATCGACTGTTTGAATAAATTTGCCTTCAAATCTTTTCCGCTTCAAAAAGCCTTTCCCAACATTGAAACACTCTTTCAACTGGTGATTATAAAGTGCCAAATTATTGGTGTCCTTTGACAACCAGTAAAGAGATGAAGAGTAACAAAAAAAAGTTGGTCCAAAAATGATGAGTAAATTTCAACGACAAATGATGAAAAATTGTCAAGATGAAGAGAGAAGGAAGAAAAGAGGTAAAAACTGAAAAGGTATTCAAGTATGAATTTATGCGTAAGCATTGACGTCAGAACCTGAATCATCTGAAATCCAGGTTAAATGATAGTTACCAAGGAAATTTTCAAATTTCGTTTCTTTATTTTCTCTTGCTTCTCTTTCCAAATTCATCTTCTCTCTCTTTACTCTTTGTCCAGAAAAAGTCTTTCCCTTTCACTCTCATCTGCTATCAGAATAAACATCGTCATCATCCTATTATGAATCACATTAATTTTGCTTTCCATGTAATATTTTCCTTTTCTTCTTCTTTTATCACAAATTATCTTCTTCACTCCCAGCCAAATCCAATGTTAAAAGTGAAAAAATGAAGCAATATTTAACTCTATTGATTGTGATAATGATAATGTATTAGCATCTGATAACTCTTTTCACTTGTTTCTTTTCATTTCCATGAATATCAATGAATCAAAAAAGCATTTAATTCATTGGAAAATATCATTTTTGTTATTCTCTTTTAACTGTCAAATGAATTTATCGTTTTTCTTTCGGAATTTTTTCCTCTTTTCTTTTTTTCCCTTCTTTTCTTGGTTCACCAAAACCATGATAAGTATCATGTGATTAGAGTGGAAAACAAAGCGAAATCTTTTGAAACTCAGTTGTGTTTCAACTTCTTATTCAGTAATTTGAAAAGGAAAAAAAAGTTTCTTGAAAAAAGAAATTTTTTTTCTCCTTTTTTTCGCGTTTTCTCGCATCAACAAATACGAATGCATATTGAAAATGATAACTGGATAAAAATATTAACTTAAATCTGATAACTTTCGTTGCATGAAAAGCTTGTAATCTAATAACTATCAATAGATAATTAAACAACTCGAGACTGTTCGAGCGTTCAGTTGGTTAGAAAAGGCAAAATTTAATCATTCTTCATGTTCTCGGCTTAAAATTGGATGGAACGAAAAAATTGAATAAAGAATTTTTTTCTTGAATCAAAACTGATTTGAAAAGAAATGCATTTAATTGCTTTTACCATCAGCTTTTGTTCAATCCAATGAAGCACCTGAAAAGACTAAAGTTGATAATAAAAATTGAATTATGCAAAATGACATTTGACTTTGACTTTTCATGATTAAAATTGAATTTTCAAATTCCATTGATAAACACTTTTCCAATTGAAATTCATCCCAAGGTCAGTTGTAATTATGCAAAATGTAAAAATGCAAATGTCACTTTGGCTGAATAATTTGGAACTTTTTCATTGAAAAAACATTTTCCTCTTTCAATCAACAACATTTTTCATATGCAAAGTGAGTTTGGACATTTTTCGTTCATCTTACAGTATAAAGAAGTTTCGGTTTTCGCCAAAATTTCAAAGTCAGAGTTTATATTAATGTGGAATTTGGAACTTAATATTTTCCATTTTTCCATTTTTCCCAATCAGATTAGCGCATTTGCATGAGAATCGGCGAGTTGATCCTTTATCATTCAAAACTGCAATTATTCAGTTATGCTAATAATTTTCATCTCTTTTTAAGTGTTCAACTTATGAGAGAAATTGATTCTCGAACAACTTTTCGATTCAATTTTGGTCGATCATGTTCCATGGAAGAAAAGACTTTCCAAGGATTTTGGTAAACTTAAATGCTGAGAAAAAGTATTGAATTTAAATTGACTTGTCAGGGAAGGAAAAGTGAACAAACTTCTTGGAGTGCAAAAAATGACAAAAAATAAGTTAAGCTGAGAAGCGTCATTGAACAAATTGAGGTCAAAAAATGGATAAAAAACATTCATCAAGTTTTGAATGTTTGTTCAATTTTCAGTTGATGTTTGGTCAAATTGAGAAAATGGATCAAAAGATGATCATGATGAATATGAAGAAGATGGCGAATATGAAAAATGTGAAAAATTGAAGCTTCACTTTGGAACATTTTCTTGTTTCTTTTTTGTTGCATCCAAAAAGTATAAAACTAATCTTCGACATTCACACAAAACCATGAGAATTTGAGATTAAAAGAGAAAACTTTTCTTCATGGAAAGAGTTGAGTTTCAGGGAATTAATTTCAAGAGAAAAATGTTTGATGTTGAGGAAAGGATTAGCAAACTACAATCAAATAGATTAATATTGAGTGAAAACAATTGAAAGGTTGAGGAAAAGTCTGAACCAGAATGGGAATGCTTTTCGATATAAAATCTTCTCCATGTTAATATCAGCATCTTACTCTAATATCATTTCATAAAGATGAAGAGAAGAAGAATAAAAAAAGGAAAAATTCTCAGTCAATTGTTTTTCGTTTCATCAAATGGCAAGAAGCAAGTCGTAATAGAGTGAAAAGTGAAGAAGGGAAAAGACTAGGAAGAGAAGAGAAAAAAATCAATATTCGAAGTACTTTGAATTCTTTGACCTTCTTTTTTTTCTTCTATTATATTCCAGCATTTATCTTAATCATTATTTCATCTTCTTCCCGCCTTAACAGTTTCCATTGTTATTAACCTATCTTGGATAAAAGCTTTGGTCAAATCGATGAGACTCTTTTTGTTTCAGCTTCTCGCCAATTACACGTCATAATAACTTTTTACCTTTAACAGTTGTTCAATTCCCAACTCTATTGTCATCTTCATTCCAACTGAGTTTCCATGTCAGCCTTTCTTTATCCTCTCAATAACTTCTCTTTTTTCTCTAACCTTTTTTATTCTTCTCTAATAAACTAATCATTCGACTGTCAATTACAATTGAGCTCAGTAATGACTATCATAACTTTTCATCACCCAACTAGCAGAGATAAAAAATTTAGACGGAAAACTTCTCTTCATAGAAACTGTGAAAAGTCTGTTCAACAATTAACCTTCGTTCTTGCAATTTGGAGTAAAAATTTGAAAAGAAAAAGATTTTTTCGAAAAGTTGGGAAACGATAAAGTTTCACTTGATCTGGTTCTAATTTGCACTTGAGTTCTGAAGCTCTAACTGATATTTGAATGCTCATCAAGTCTGCTTAGTTCAATGATATTGGAATCTGGATTTTGCATAATTTTGCTTTTCTAATGTTTCGTAGCTTAGAATTACTTTTATTTCAAGTAGTGATGATGTTGCATGAATTTATGGATA